CATATATAGTTGGTATATTATTATTTGTGAGTTTTTGGCTGAAACCTCACGGTTAGAAGAAAGCTGAAGAGCATGAGTTGCTGAGTACTAAACATTTTTTGCATTCGATTTCAGGCTGATTAAGAAATAAGCTTTCCGGCACTCGATACATGATTATCTGATATCGGTACTCTTATACAGTGTTACGGTATTTAACCGACGGAAAGAACACTACACTCACACAAACTCAACTACTTTATTAAACAAATGAATAAAGGGGGTAAGTTTCTAAAGAAACTGTGGTGCTGCGTCGGTGGGAGAGTATAAAAGGTAAGTCAATGTTAACAGCTAAGTTGAAAACGTTAGCCCTTCGCAATCGCTCCGACGAAGGGCTAACGCTCGAAACGTCAGCCTTTAAACTCTTTTACATTCTCAACTCAGTTGTTAGCACTAAATTACCTTCTATATTAAACAACTCGTAATATTCTTACTAAGGAGCGACTCCTAAAGGCAGTGCAGTAGTTATCCTTAATAAACTTACCTAAGCCCAATATATTCTATATCTTAGCTCACCGCTGACATAATCTCACATTAGTATCCATGATCCTTTAAATGAACAATCTTCCACAGTAGCTCTCTTTGTCGGTATAGCTTTCCAAACAGTCGGTCACGCTCGATGACAACAATTACTTATTACTTCTACCAGGGACCGCGCAGAGGGAGGGGCTGGGGGTGGGGGGCTTTAGCCCTCCCCCCCTTCCTTTTTGCAAAAATAAAAATAAGTTAAACAAAAAATAATCTAACAAATATAACGGAGCCAAAAATAGCTGCGCGGTCCCTGACTACTCATACGCGTATGAGTCTTTATGTGCATTTACAAAGTATCTTGGAACACAACACTACGACACGACTATTTTAGTGGCCTTACATCATAACTACTTGACCCAATAGAATGCTCTAGAAAGTCCCAAGGTATGCATGTCAGCACCACTCAACGTTCACTTATCAGAGTTCACTTCCCTATCACGTCTTATCATATCAAATGCAACCTCTTAAAAACAGGAGTAGACATACATACCAGAAGCAGCACAATGAAACCTCGCAGTCTGATTTTCATTCACCGTCAAAATCGAAGGAGACACGAGCACCTGTAGCGACCCTTCCTTGTTATCAAGCACCGTCGACTCTCCAGGTACTCCCGGATATCCTTGGGCTCCTCTCTCTCCTTTCTGCCCCTTAGCCCCAGGGGGACCTAACCCTCCGATGTCCCCCGTATCGCCTTTCTCTCCTTTGGACCCAGGATCTCCGGGGGGACCACGAAGGCAAATCTGAAACATTGATGACAACAGCTGTCAGTGTCTGGGATCAGTTTAATGTTATGTAAGATAGGGAGAAATAATTACTTGTGAAGAGGAGAAATAACATCCAATTCAGGAGGATTAGAAAGAAGATCAGGGTGGATAACTTTTTTTTTTTACGATTATTGAATGAATTTCTGCCAATGGATTGTCACCCCGAATGCGCATCGAAAATCTTTCAAAGTTGAAAATTATATGAAAATAAAAGCCAATCAGAACACTATTATCAACGACTGTACCGTTCAAAACAAGAGGCAGGCACGCAAAGCCACTTGGGTAAAAATCAGCGTATGATGGCACTGGTCTTACGGAAAATGAAATATTTTATTCCCCGCCCCTCGAAATAAACCTTTCTCCAGGGTTTTCACGAATGCAACAGAATACGAGACATGGGACTTCAAACCATCCGATCATCACAGAGATAACTGCTGATCTCTTTTGCGAACGTTTTGGGTAGGACAGCCTCGAGACAGCTCAGGTCTCTCTTGGGAACTACGTTGTGATTGATAGAGAAAGCAAGAGGCCTACTTTTGGTCAGCGGTGCGATTAGAGCTCACCCACAACTCTATGCACTAATAAATGACGTATATATGCCGGAAATCCACCTACCTATCGGCAATCTATGATATTCTAAAGGATAATCTGTTAGTTCTTACCGAACCAAGAGGTGATGTGCAAACACGATTACTCTCTTTTCTTATCTTCTCAAAATAACTTTTGATCTCGTTTCTTATTTTCAACAGGTCGTTGCTTTGGTCGTTACTGATGTTCGTTGCAAGTCCAGCGGACGCACGGCGGGTTCTCGTGTTGGCCTCAGTGGAATAAATATCCAACTTTCCTTGAAGAAGAAGCATGCAAACCGTAAGTTTACAACGAAGGCCGTAAAAAACTAAAAGGGGCCAGCTACGCATAAAAATAAGTTAAATTCCTTAACAAAGGGAGCGGTCATTATTGACAGTCTGGGGGTGGGGGGGAGGAGAAGGGGTCGCGTTTTGTGTGACGATAAATTTTACCTGATCTCCCCATGAGGCTCTGTGATATTCGTTTGATCTCCACCCCACCCCAACCCCCTCATTAACAGTTAATTGGCAGGTAATTTTCTATATAGTCTCCTTTAATGCTATGTTGGCGACAACTGACCCCTCCTCAGTACCCTCTGAAAGTCGTGTGATCCCCAAAAATCCTCCAACCCAGCCCCTTCCCCCCCCCCCCAACCCCTCACCCAAGGTGATACTAATGACAGGCTTTAATTTATATATTACATAACAGAAAACTTCCTGCATTCTTAAACACCGCAGAATTCGCTGCCGTAGTGAAATTAAAAAACTGTTCTTCGCATTTAGGCTCACTCGAATATCTATGTACGAATCACTAATGTGTAGCACCCTTCTGTATTACCCGAAAAATTAGAGATTTGGGAAATGTTGTGGTTCTTTCTCGTTTAAGTTCTGTCGCTTGAACGGAAATTGCTAAAATTTCGAAATATAAGAGGCATGCAAAACATAAGGTTACGAATTGACGCTAAAATTAGTGTTCACCACAATCTTCCTTGAGCTCGCACCGCAAAAATTTGTTTCCGCAAAATTTGTAAGCGAGACGGTACGACTATGTTTATAAAATGCTGAAAATGCTAACTACAAACTGATCGCAGCAACAGGTTGCACACTAAGGAGTCCATATCTAGTGACGCTGTTTCTCTTTCACCAGAAAAAAAATAATAATAAAAAAGAGAGCCAGCAATTTAGCACCCATGGGTTACAGACAATGCTTAAGAAGGCGAAAAACATTTTCCCTTGCTGACAACTTTTTTAGCCCTCTTTTTTATCAGAGTTTTCTTCGTTGTTTTTTTTTTGTCATTTGTGGTAGAAAAGGCTCCCTTGCTGCCATCCACTTCTTAGTGAGTTCAACTATTTTCATCATTTTGTCGTGATCGCTACATTCCTTTCAGTAAGTGTTCCTACATGGCGAACCCCAACCGCAGCCTCTCCTCCCTAAGACATCCATAGTCAACATGAAGCAATCTTTCTCGGGTAGGGCGAGGAAATATCAGGCTCACTTAAGCACGTTAGAAAAGGCAAGGAATTCTAAAAGCACTTAATAACTAAATCAAGTTGATTTAAGTCTAGTATTCGATCAGAATAAATCTATCTCACCTTCGACGTTTGCTGTACTTTTACGTGACGCATCTTGTGTTCTTTCACGACAGAGAAGCTCCATTGTGCCCACTCGTGCTTCCTGTTCTTGCAATTTTATTTCGATTCTTAAAAATCCGGCAAAAAGTAGCGACAATGTCAAGACCGAAATCACCAAACTGACAAAGTGTAGCGAATTGCAAAGACCTAAATTGGGCTTAGAGAGCACCATAACGTAAAGATCCGAAGTTAGCGATCGAAATCGAGATAAAAACAAATACTCTTTGTCTGTGGGAAATGTTTCGGCGAACCTCGTGACAGATAAGTGACCACTAACTCGCACGCGCTCCGGTCACGATATCTTCCGTATCACGCATTGTGTCACGCAACTGAAAGCTTTTCAAATACATCTGCTAACGCCAAAAAAATCTAAAGGGAGAGTTTTTATTTACTTTTATAATCAAAGTTTAGCTTATTCTAGGACTTCTAAGTTTCCGAAGATGCAGTTTAAAAAAAGTTAAAGGAAGCAGCTGAAAGCCACAATCATAACCCCAGGGGCATTCAAATTTCAAACGGTGAAATTTCGTACCGCGTTGGGTTTCTGATATCAAGTGTGCTTGTCCAGACATCGCAATGATTTGGTAAAAAAATCTGACGGCAAAGAGAATCTGCACACTTTGTTTATTTATTGTTTACCTTTACCCCTTTCCCACCCGGGCAGTTAAAAAGAGCCCGAAATCTTACCCCCCCCCCCGGCCTAGTAGGTCGACCTCTCTATTTTAAGTTGAGCTATGAAGCTCTGCTTCTAATATTTAACCCATATAAAAAATATCTTATCTCTACAAGCACGTAAATGAATTTAACTTCAGGTGTAAACGTTTAAGTTCTTACTCCATCATGTTCTGTAGTGCGGAAGTACATCGGTAGTTCTAGCGGCGGCTGCGTCATCGATCCCGAGGGCTGCGGTCTCTTCTCGCTGTGAACAATTCATTAAGTATGAGTGTTACAACTCTTTGCTTTTGGAATCAAACTATGGATGGTGGGTGTCAAGTGATTCCAGTTGGACGCCTCTCGTGACAGTCAAAAATGCGCATGCAGAAAGACCAACTCGTGTGCTGATTCCAGTACAGCCTGTAATTGTGACAAAAAGTGATGATGCATGGCACGAGAAAGCGGTCTCCACAGAGAAAAGTAAGAGGTGCCTGTTAAGGAACTAAGGCTAGGGGATACCGGGATAAATGGCGTTTTCAACGAGAAGGGCTATTATATTCTTTTATCAAAGTGGCGATCCAACTCATCTACTGAGTAACCAAATCAATCTGTACCTCGACTAGTGATCACGGTCTCGGTTTGTCCTAGAATAAAACATTTTTATAGATGCGAAGATCCGCAGTAGGGACTAGATACTTGTAAAAGGTAGGAGCTCTAAACAAACCCTTGCAGACTTACCGAGGAGAAATCAGGTTTTCCAATGTTGGTGTCACAAAATTTAAGCGATATTATATGCCTCAAATGAACTGCTATGGCCTCATTGTCAAATCATTAATGAATTTATTATTTTTACAGTTATCAGTTTCATCTGTAGTGTGATGACCGTTAAGAGTATTTCTTAATTTACTTTCTGAAACATGTGAATTGAACTGGTAATGCCAATCTATGTGGAAAAAATCTTTATTTGAGTCTTAACACGTAAACATTGCGATTGACTACCACTTAATTTTTGATGACAATATTACGGCTGAATCAAAAATTAGTCATTAAAAGATAGAAAACTATTGCCACCTTCTCCTTGTCAGTGCAAAAGGAAACGTATTGTGAACGGTATGGAGTATATGCGTAATAACGTTAAGATGTAAAGGTTGAATGTTACCGAAATTTTTCTCATAATTAGTGCGTTGATAACCTGCATATTTATTGTATATTTTATAGAGCCAAATTTCTTTCACGGGGGGAGCGTAAAATGAAAAGCACATTGTGCAGGTTTATCGCCAGTATCTGTTGTTGACAATTAACTTAGTGTAGAGTAAGTCTGTCTTGGTATAGTATTTACAAAAAACTCAAGCTTTCTCCAGTACCTATCTAATCTACATGACTCAAATACAGCATCTCACTCAAAATTACCTCGACAGATACCAAACATATAATAAACATAAACACCTGTTTAGTAAACATAAACACCTGTTTTGATTCTACTTTCTAAAACTCACCCGACATTTACACTCCTCTAAAATACAACTTATGAAATAGGGAGTAATTAACTAACAAAGGAATTTCCTTTCTAATTAACAAATAGCTTCCCATGTTGCAGTGTGCCCGTTCAGGATTAGATCACAGAGTCGTCACAGAAGTGGTAAGACTAAACAGTGGCACTGATGTTCATAACGCGTTTTGAAGTCTTCTTTGGTCTTTTACTGTAAAGACCCACAGTTACACGGGGTCTATTTGTTTTGTATGATAAAAAAGCAAAATGTTGTTGATGGTGACGTCACCCATGCTTCTGTCCGCCAACAGATCGTAAGAAACAATCAAAATGCTTGCTTCTTTCAGCTCATCATCATATAAACCTTTACATACATATATCTATTCAGTATCCTCCCTATTCCCAAAGCGATGCTTTCAATTACTGATGTTATTTAAAATTAATCACCATCATCGTTAAAATTTATTTTCTGATATGATTGACTATGATCACTTGTTATCAATTTCTCATAGTTTATCATAGGTGGATAAAAACCTTGAGGCAGGAGGGGGGTGGGAAACCGCACCCATGACAGATCAGGGTCCTCTCAAACCTAAGTGTAATAATCGTAATATCGTTCTGTAATCATTTTCATTATAGTACTGATAACTATCTTCAGAGTCACTGTAACCACCATCATCGTTATCATCATGGCCTGTATAGTACGCGCTCCCGCACAAACGAAGATATTTCTCGCATTATGGCCGAACAATATTTGACGCGAGAGCAAAAAGTTCGAAGGGGGGGTGGGGAACAGGGAAGAGTTCCTTCGTTGCCCTGCCCTAACCACTCTATCGTCTTGGTCGCTATCGTCGTTACCATCATTTTCGTCATCACACTCATCAGCATCATTATTATTGCAGTTTCCATCATCACCAGAGTCGATGAAATAATTATCGCCTTTATCAATATCATCAGTATCTTTGACATCACCATCACCACGTGAACTGTCGTCGTGTCGCCGTTGTAATGACCACCAGCATTATCATCAATTTTACTCACGCAATTAACATCTCGACTCTCGGCGAGGTCAACATTATCATCGGGTTTATGACCATCAATCAAATTTTCATCATCATCATCATTATCATAGTCGTGACTACCATTACCAAATCAACCCAAGTACTATCACCATTGTTATCATGAACATCAACCAGCTTCCATAACTTCAAATTGAAGATGTTTGTCCTTGCTCGTATCTGAACACCACGCTGTACATATCTCCTCCAAGTCTTTGAGCGAGCCAGCGATTCTTTATTACAGCAAGCTTAATAGAATCACACGTGAATTTTGCGTCGTAATTTGTATGGATGGCTCTAAAAGGGAGATTAAAAACAACAGGAAAAAAGTTTTTATAATGCTACGGATACTTTTAAGGGTCCTGAGTTGTCCGCTTTGAAGAGCTACCACTGTTTTGTATTTTTGATATAATCGCTCTCCAAAACAAAGATTAAAGGAACATCTATTAAAGAGAATGAGAGAAACAACTTGTTCTCTACGGTCTCTTTCAAATGTTTGAGGCGAGAGAAACAGAGAGGCAGAGTAAGAAAGCGAGATAAAAGCAAAAAAACTGTAACAATCGGACTTCTCACTGCCGCCCTTTATTGCTCTGGACACGTGACCATAACCGCTCTTGAGGCGTGAAAAAGAAAAAACCTGGTAACAACGTTCAAGTAAAGACCAAAATGACTTACCTTCCCATTCCTTCTAAAATTAAGAGATCCGCATCTCTACACTTCAGTGCAAGCTCTGTGTTCACTCTCCTGAAAAGAAGATAAAGTCGGTAGTTCACTTCTAACGTTTTCGGGCTCATCACAGTACATTCAAGGTAAATCTTTGTTGTAGAACTATTTCACGTCTTTCTTCTTGGAGTTAAACAGAAACCATACCTACAGTCCAAACACGGAGATCCAATTCCTGACTCCATAAGAACTAACCGTTCTTCTCGATGCGCAGTCCTGAGTACCCATAAAAAAACAAAAGCGAGACGAAAGATTATGTTTCACCTCAATCTCCTACATAAGCGACGAGTGAAAAATATACATTGCAGAGAAAGAAGGGACGGGACATGAACCGAGAAACCAGAACAAAAGACAAACAATCTCTCTCCATCTTCTCCAATGCACATAGTTGCAGAATTATTAAATTATCTCTCCTTTTCGCCAGAGGAAAAATGATGTTTCATTACCTTATTTCTGGACATAAATCTGCTATTTTTTCTGTCAAGATCACAAGTTCACTGTGCATGACGTCATTCAAGGCTGGATAAGAGTTAGCAGCCATGACAACCTACAAAAAGGTCACGCAAAACTTAATCGAAAAAGTCGATAATATGTCACGCGTCATGTAATAAGAAATACGAATCACTAATGGACAGAAAAGCAAGTTAACGACGATACGAAGAGAAAGTTCTCCGACATTATATGAGAGTACACAAGCAGAAAAGAAAAGATAGTTATTATCTGAAGACTGGAAATTGAAAGGAAAGTTAATATTCCGCCCTTGTCTGCTCAGCTTGCCAACACTTTCAACATTTGAACGCAAGGTAAGCGTAGGACGTCTAAAAGTTATTGCGCGTTTGTTACGCATTCGGGAAGTTTTGTTCAGATTATTCTGACGCTCCCGCTTAGATAGTAAACTTAAGAGCCTTAAGCGAAGATCATTTTTAGTTCACCACCAATAGCAACTACAACAAAATTATATCGTAATTGTAAACGCAAAAGTTTTACCTTCGTTCCACGAGAGAGAAGTTCTCTGACAAATGGAAACATCCCTAAAATAATATCCACTCCACTGTTATCTACAAATATGACAGCCAGCTCATGAGGTGAACCCTGGTCAGAGGAACAAAAAAATTAATTCTTAACGGGAATTTGTATGCGAAAGAATATGTGGGGAGGGGGGGGGAGAGGGAGGCCGCTTGGAGAAGAGGGAATAAGGAAGGAGGAATAACAAGGGAGGATAAGGACAGGGCAAAGTGAGGAGAAGAGGGGAAGGGTAAGTAAGTACAAAAGAGAGGAAGGAGAGAAGAACGGGGAAGGAAGAGTGGCGAGAGGGGGGAGAGGAATAGGGAGGTGATGGAGAAGAAGGGAAAGGCGGAAGGTGACAAGGGGACAACGGACGGGGACGGTGTGGAAGAAAGAGAAAGAGAAGGAGAAAGGAATGGTTAGATGAGCAAAATGCAAATGAAACTAACTGACCTTTGACCTTTCAATCCAAGTATCGAGGTCATCTTTTAACCATGGTCGAGCTGAAAGATTACAGCAGAAAGAAAAATTAGAAACGTGGTTTACGTAATGCTTAACGTGATGTGGAACTTACTCAGATCTCTTTGGTAGCATGTGGGCGTTCATCCATAGCTGATACGACTAAAACTTTACTGCACATAGAAAGGAAGTTTTAAAACTCACAACTTCTGTTTGCGTACCTTGTAGTTTTTTCATCGCTGAGTGGAAGTCGAGTTCTCCTTTTTCCATGAGCCTGTTAAATGATCGTTGGAAAGCAATTAGAGCTGCTAAATACAAACATCTCAATCCTGTGCTTTCCTTTTCTCCGTGGAGTCCTTAAAATAAAGGAGGAGTCATCTGGAAGCGGGTAATTAGGAATTCTAAAAACCACACTGATTTCAAGAGAGAATTTGGCATTTTCAAATTGTTTTCAGCTCTGTTTTGCGAAGGACCAAGGCGTGAATCTAGTACAGAAAAAATGGTTCAGCTTGCAAGTAAATTATAAATTAGACGTCTGTAATGGCACTGCTTAAAAACGTTTTTAAAGAGCGGCAAGCAAGTGCAGAACATTGACAATGGTTCACAAAACGAAAAAGAATTCTAGGCTTTCTTCATTCTCGTTTTGAGGACCTTGTTATCAAAACCAAACAGTAAACAAAGGTTCCCACTCTTACTTTGAGACTTCCTTGGCACCCCAGTCAAAAACATTTCCAGCTATAATCCCTTCAATGAGAGAAATTTGTCGCTGTTCCCATGGTAGTGCGTCCAATTCCTTAAGTCTTTTAGAGAGCAGAAGAAGTGCTGCCTCGTTTTCTTCTTGTTTCACCTGCAAGTTAAAAGGGAGGAAAAATAAACGCGTGACATCTCAAAAAAAGGCGGGAAACAAGCGCTTGTCCAAATAGGCAGAAAATATACCACTTCCGATCAACACGGCGGGAAAAAACGCGCCTCTCGTAGAAGGTGGAAAACATGTGTCGTCAAAATAGGCGGGAAAACAAACGTCAGTGGACGCAGGAAAAAGCGGGAAACGAGCGCTCGTCTATTGTACAGGTTTCGGTCGAGTTTCGAAAGTAAACCGAGGTTGCACCGGTTTTGCTTTCTTTCGCTCTGTTATTGGTCCAAAAAACTCGCACCACTCTCTCAACCAATCAAGTGCAAAACTAAAACCAATCACGACTTGGTCATCCGCGTTTTCCCGCGCTTTGGGAAGTTTGTTTGATTCAACTTTGAGTTCTCATTGGTTCTTAGGAGTATTCTCCTTTCATTTGATTAGTCGTTGTGATAACTTTGCTTTGGTTTTAAAACGGCGCTAAAAAAAAAGTATTTAAAAAAGCAAAATAAGCGGAACGTTTGCTCAATAGCAAATTGGCTGATGACCAATGGCCACAGGAAGTGAAATAATAGCTACCTCTGCATACGGATCAGGAAAGCTGAACTCGTTCAGGTATTGTTCTCTCACGTCTAATAAACTTCGTACATTCAACGTTCCATAGGCGCTGCAAAGGAAAAAGTGTCACGCAAGTGTGTCACACGAATGTGGGCCCTTGTGACAAAGAGTGTCACGCGTACGTCAAATTGCGCTTTCCGTAATAGTATTAAGGCAACTTTTTCGAACATTATCGGAAGAGGAAAGGACTGGGCGATTTTCAAAGCTGGGATCTACATTTTCCCACAAACTATTCCAAGAATAGCAATGGCAGTGAATAAAGAGGTAAATATCATGAGGAAACCTAAAGTGAATTTGACTGAATACTGTATAGCGAGTCAGGTGTTAATTAGCAGTGTATGAAATAAACAATGAAAATAAAGACCTTACGAGGTGTTGTTCTCCTTTACTGTTTCCAAGTTGAATTAGAATTTCTAATGTTGGTTTTGCTGGGCAAGGAATAACGTACCCAATTTTTCCGATGATAGATCATTGCTATAGTCCAGGGAATCAACTCAGGTGACATTTGAGTATGCTAGGAAAATAACTCACGCGGGTTGTTCCTTGAGAACATTGAGGCGAAGTCGAAATTTGTTCCGAAACTTTTCTGCTCTTTCTCTAGCGTCTGGAGAGTCTGGCTGGCTTGCTACGGCGCGTGCAACAACCTGATAAAATTACAAGAGAAACATGAAAATTAGCCACGCCCGTAGTTATCGGCAAATTAACTCCACTAAAAAAGGGCCGTGTTGAAAAATTTCAGATTAAGTCAACAAAAATTATCCGAAGATGTGTATTTTTCCCAAACTTCCGAAACTGCGATGTCCACTACTTCACTAAGAGACTAGGTGGTTAACTAAATTAAATTAATTCAAAATCAAGAAAGCTTACTTTCTCCAGTCCGTCCTCGAAACAGCTGAGCCAGTATTCCCGTGCATCTGTGTCAACTGTAAGGTCTTGTGTATCAGGAAAGTAGTCGCTCGGCGAGGAGAGGAGAGGGAATGGAACTAGCTTGTGAGAAAATTGGTCCATCTCTAATACATCGTACTAAAAATAAATAAATAAATGAATTATCAAGGATGGATGAGGAAAAAAAAGACTTCTGGAAAATACACGTGACTAAGTCATAATCGATTGTGGATCATCACAAGAAGGTGACTGTTTGAGTACCCAATGAAGCAAACTAAATCACATATGATTTTTCACTACAAACAAAAGTTAACAAATTTAAGCTTGCACACGAATTGAGTAGTTTCTTCCGTCGAAGCTCATTTCAGTTTACAAGATATTAAGCAACTTAAATAAATTTAACACCGTTAAGATCTCGAGATTTCCATGACACGATAGCGGCTCTTAACTGGTGTAGAAGACACAGTGTTGTTTTAATTGTTTTCTTCTACCCAGTTGTAATGAAATTCTATTGTGACGTAACTGTGTCTTCTACACCAAGTAAGAGCCGTGATAGCTCAATAACATTTGCGACAATGTAAGACGGTTTTATGGATTCTTTTCCTACCATGGCTCCATCAGAGATCCGAGAGTTGAGCAAATCGGAGGGTAATTTCACAGAAGGTAATCCTGAGCTGCCTGCGTAATTCTCTCGCCACGTCAATACATTCAGATTACTTAAATTGACGTCAGCTAAAAGAAAAAAAATAAACTTGAAGGCCGATGGTAGCGAAGCATACGTTACCCGTGAATTCATATGTTAGATTTCCGAAAACTCTCCGATTCCTATTTGTTCAGTTTTCAGTTATTGCCAAGACCTCGATAATCCTCACTCAGATTTCAAGTTTTTCCAGAGCGGCCAAATATAGTAACGAATGCGCATGTAAAAAAAATTCGCATGTACCTATTTATATTTGTAGGTGGAGAAGTGCACTATGGGATGAAAAGGGCCTATCCCAATAACCCGAGTAGGGTTAGAAACCAGACCCTTTCAATTCAGAGTCCGGTTAGGGTGTTCACCACTCGGTGTGATAAGTTTTTAGGCCTTCACCGACCTTACTAGATCCTGTACCAATGAAAGAGAAATATTGTTTTATTAACTAATCTTACCGTCTTCTTCTACTCCTTTAAGAAACGCTCCTATGGCCCCGAGATATCCTTCATGCCTCAGAAACATCGCCTTTTGACTTCCCTAAAACAACACAAAACAGCTTTTCCCTAAATGTCCCAAAAAGAGTTCAGGCTTTTACATGAACGACGACGTCACTTTCTGTAGAATGCAAAATTCGATTGGTTACGTGTTCAAGATATTTCAAATTTGCTCAACGAGTATTGCGATTCCTCCACGGGATACAGCATCAATCTGTGTCATGTCATCACTAATTTCGTATCATTTGAGCCTGCTACCTGGAACGAAGGACCGAGAGAAAAGAGCCTTGCCCAAAAACACAACACAATGACCCCACCAAGTGTCAAATTCAGATCTCTAACCCCGACTTTCAGAACGTTATCCACTACGTAAGTACCAAGTATTTGTTCTTGTTCCTTCACCATTTAAACCCTCAGAGCGACCAGTATACAGCTGAATCATTCGTGAAGATCATAAGAATAAAGAAAATGATCACCAGCTAAAGAGGCTCTTGAAAAATTCTCTTTGTTAGCACCTTAGGGAATGTATAGAGAAGAGTGCGGAAAATATGCATTCTGATGTTAGGTTGTTAACGGTTGACCTACCTTTGACCAGTAGTTTATACCGTAAGATATGGAGTGCATAGTCACAGGGTTCCCTCTGATAAAATATCCGCCGAAATAAAGTCTCTTGAGGCCGTTAAGTTTCGCATAAAGTGAGGCAATCTGAAATGAAAAGACAAAGTAATGTCTCTGTAGGTGCTGGAGTCGGTCAAGGACAACCTTTGCAGTTCTTGTATTTTCTTTTAAAGGAAAACTGAAGCTTAACAAAGAGTCCTCGACTCATAAATTTAATTTAATTTAATAATAAGTTCTTATATAGCGCATTAAAATTGAAC